GGGGGGGGGGGGGGAGCCTTAGATTTTCTTATATGTAAACTAGGATTGACAGCAATATTGCTGTGCAGATTTAAGAGTGTGGGAAGCCCCTAGCATTGTGCATGGCCTATGAATGGCCGGCACTGAATAATTGATGTTATAAAGTGTCAACAGTTTTTATTGAGGATTTATTTTATGCTTGACACTTAACAGACATTTATCTCTAGCCCTTGAGGTAGGTACTGTTGCAGTGTTCATTTTATTTTATTTATTTGTTTCATTATTATATTTTTAGTCCTCACCCGAGGATATTTTTCCATTTATTTTTAGAGAGAGTGGAAGAGAGAGGCAAAGACAGAGAGAAATGTCTATGTGAGAGAAACACACTGATTGGTTGCCTCCTGAGCATGCCCCCAACCAGGGCCCAGGCAGGAGAGGAGCCTGCAACCAAGGTACATGCCCTTGACTGGAATAGAATCCGGGACCCTTTGATCCGCAGGCCGATGTTCTATCCACTGAGCCAAACTGGCTAGGGCTACAGTGTTAATTTTAGGGACAAAGAAACTGAGGCTTCGATGGGTCACTTGTTATGACCAGCATCACACCATAAAGTGGCTGAAGCAGGATTTGAACTCAGACCCTCTTACTCAGAGTCCTTGTTGCTCTTAACCACAGGGTTCTACTGCTCTTATCATTACAAAAGTCCAGGAGACCCCTGAGGAATTCCATTCAGTTGCCATTGAGCATCTCTGTGTGCAAAGCCCTATGCTGAGATCTATTATAAAACTCTGCAACTTCAAGATCCTGAAATATATGAACATCTCAAAATGTGGACATAAATGTTTATGTTGAAACACTGGTTTTGAGGGGGCAGAATTATGAAAATAGCATCTTCCTAATGCTTGCTTTGTTGCTTCCCTTAATCCCTGCCTCCCATTTTGTTTGTTTGTTTGTTAATCCTCACCCAAGTTTATTTTTTCCATTGATTTTTAGAGAGTGGAAGGAGGGAGAGAGAAAAACAGAAACATCGATGTGAAAGAGACACGCTGATTAGTTGCCTCCAGCACCTGTCCCAACTGGGGCCAGGGATGCAACCCAGGTACATGCCCTTGATTGGGAATCAAATCTGAGACCCTTTGGCACGCAGATTGATGCTCTAACCACTGAGCCATGCCGGCCAGGGCTGCCTCCCATTTTTTATCCTTTTTCCTCACTCTAGCAAGAGTTGTCATAAACAGCCCTAGTCGGTATGGCTCAGTGGATAGAGCATCAGCCTATGGACCAAAGAGTCTCGGGTTCAATTCTGGTCAAGGGCACATACCTCAGTTACAGGCTCCTCCCCAGCCCAGGCCCTGGTCAGGGCTCATGCAGGAGACAACCGATCATTGTGTTTCTCTCACATCGATATTTCTCTCTGTCTTTCCCTTTCCCACTCTCTCTAAAAATCAATGGAAAAATATCCTTGGGTGAGGATTTAAAAAAAAAAAAGTCGTAAACACAGATCTGATCATGTCACTCCTGATTTAAAGTCTTTGGGCAGATAAAAAAAAATTAATTTTTTAAACCTCTTTAGGTGGCTTAAAAGCTAAAGTTTGGGATTCCAGATCTTGCATATTCTAACCCTTCCTTTGTGATTTCACCTGCACAAACTCCAACCCTCTCTCTGCCTGTTGCCCCCACTGCCTGGAATGCTGTTCTCCTCTTGCTGTGTGGCCCAGACCAGAGCTCATTCACCACTTGAAGCCTCTGACTGACTGCCAGAATCAACTGTTCCTAGTTTGTGTCCTCCCTATCCATTTAATATATTGAATCAAATTACCAGTAAATGGTGAATGGTGAGAGGTGCAGTTGCTGTCTTCTCCCCTAGGTGGCAATATGAAGCAGCCAGGCCGACCTCTGGCTTTGGGTCAGGGAAAGATGGGAGGAAGCCAGCCTAGGAAGGGAATTGAGTCTTGCTTCCCTCCTTTAACCAACTCTCCCTGCTGTGTCCCAGGGCCTGAGCAAGGCTCTGGGGAAGCAGTGGTGGTTATATCCTGTGCGTAGATCGTTTTGGCCCACTCTGGTTAGTGCATTGATGATTGTAAATGGTTGCTGTGAAAGCACCCAAAAGGACACTGTAACCAATGACAGAGTGTTTCCTGAAGGAGGTAAATTTGTGCTGGGGAGGAATTATCCAGGTAAAGATCCTGGGGAAGGTCTTTGCAGGATGCAGGAACAGTATGGGCAAGGGTACAGAGGTGGAAACATTTAGGTTTGTTCAGGGAACCACATGGGGTCTGGTACTTCAGGGGCAAGAAAGGTGAAGTGAGTAGTGGCCAAAGAACTCACGTGGCTGGTGTGCAGAGGGTTTGGGTGTTGTCCTGTAGCCGCCAGGGTGGCTATTAGGCAGTTTTAGTCTACAAAGTGAGGGAGTCAGATCTGTACAGAGGAGGAAGAGTTGGAGGGGGATAATGCTGAAGGTCAGCAAACCAGTGAGAAAGTGATTCCTTTCCCTTCAATAAGGAAAATTGGGAATATGACCCTGGAATGTAGTAATATGACCCTGGAATGTAGTAATAGGGAAAAAAGAGGGCGTGGGTTTGAGATGTGATTAGGAGCTAAAAGATACAGAACTCAGTGGGTATTTAGATGTGGGACATGAGCAAGAGATGATTCCGGGTCTCTGCCTGAGTGACCGGTAGATGAACAGAGGAAAAGAGAGAAAGTGGGAGTAGCTGTTTAGAATGTGGACATCAAAGGGAAAGCAAATCACTCAGGTAGAATGCGTGTGCATGGGTACACAGACAGTGAAACAAAGGTGGCAGAAAGCAGTCTCCTTGTTCCTAGGTGTTGGGGGGATTCACTTATATGATCATTGTCCATCCCCACTCAACCTAGAGAGCCTCCATGTACTGGTATATTGGCCAAGTTCATGATCACACTTTTATAGCCTGAAAACATGAAGCATAACTGTCCAATGTCACAGGGAATGGGGAGAAGTGGAAGAATTTGCCTCCTCAAGAAACTTAGAACCTGCCCTACCCAGTTTGGCTCAGTGGATAGAGCATCAGCCTGTGGACTGAAGGGTCCAGGTTCAATTCCAGTCAAGGGCACATGCCCAGGTTGTGGGCTCGATCCCCAGAAGGGAGTGTGCAGGAGGCAGCCGATCAATAATTCTCTCTCATCGATGTTCCTATCTCTCCTTCTCCCTCACTCTATGAAATAAAAATATATTTTAAAAAACACACACAAAAAACAACAACAACTTAACAACCTGAGCTAGGGAAAGTAGAGTGTGTGAAATTCAACAACGAAAAGTTGAAGCAGCAGGTCATGACAGTATTGAGAAAGTGTGGAAAGAAATGATTGCCCGTTTTTTGGTTTTAGGTTTTGATGAAAGCATTGGTGTCCAAACTGTGTCTTGTGATTAGAGAGGTGTTGGCAGGAGTTTCCAAGTGCAGCCAGAGGACTGAGTGAATAAGAAAGGAGAGTACAAGGAGGTTCAGAAGCCCAAGTGGACTGGTTTGGGCAGGCAGAGGTTCAGAAGGTGAGCTTGGAGATAAATCTGGAAAAGCATGCCAAGGTCTGGTGATAGAGGCACAGTCGAGGTGATCTTGGAATATTGCTTTTCTAGGGAAGAGATAAGGATGGATTGACTGGTCAAG